CAAGCCTCCTTCATGCACTTTGCCCAGCTCTTGGCCCCCACTCCACGTTCACAAACTCTTCACGTGGATTGTTGTGAACTCGAACTCCTCACACGCCTTATTCACCCACGCGCCCATGTGGCCCCCATAATTCTCCACATCGGCGAAATTTTCTCAAAACTGAGCCGACACCAACCAAACAAATGTCGGTATCTACTCTCAAATCGGCTGCATCATAAATGACTGCCTACGTATCCCCTTGCCCAGAGAATCAAGCCTTCACGTAGTTCACCCAAATGGCCGCCAATGGCCTCAACAATCACGAATGTGCAACAAGCTTCTACAATGATCAAACTTGTTGCTCGGAACCACCTTAGTGAGCATATCCGCCGGATTATCCTTCGCGTGGACCTTCACAATCTCCACATCGCCATCTTCAAGAACATTACGAACGAAGTGATAACGAACATCAATGTGCTTCGTCCTCGCATGAAAAACCTGATTCTTCGCCAAATAGATAGCACTCATGCTATCATAATGAATAGTGACGGATCGCTGCGATATACCAAGTTCCTCCAAAAGTCATCGAAACCAAATAGCCTCCTTCACAGCCTCTGTAACCTCCATATACTCTGCCTCCGTCGTAGACAAAGCTATTGTCGACTGTAAGGTGCATCTCCAACATACCGGCGCACAGGTCAAAGTGAACATATACCCCGTTGTAGACCGACGCTTATCCAAATCCCCGGCATAATCCGAATCAACATAACCAATACATAACTGCCCACCTGTAGTGTCCCTCTCATAAATCAAACCAACATTGAGCGTACCTCGAATGTACCTCAAAATCCATCTCACGGCGTCCCAATGACCCACTCCTGGATCGTGCATGTATCTTGAAACCATGCTCACCGCCTGTGACAAATCTGATCTCGTACATACCATCGCGTACATCAAGCTCCCAACCGTGCTCGCATATGGAGTCTTCGACATCAACTCTCGATCTTCAACTGACTTTGGTGAAAGACCAGCTGAAAGCTTCAAATGGGCTCCCAATGGTACACCAACTGGCTTCGTATCCATGCTAACATGGAATCGCTGTAGAACCTTCTTCAAATAAGCCACCTGTGTCAAACAAATTCTGCCCTTCTTCTTGTCTCTGTCGATCTCCATCCCTAAAATGTGTTTGGCCTCACCCAAGTCCTTCATCTCAAACTCATTTGAAAGCTAAACTTTTAACTCATCTATAGCCGACCTGGAAGTAGAGACAACCAACATGTCATCGACATAAAGTAACAAATAGATGTACGCACCTCCTCTCAACTTGCGAAAATACACGCAAGGATCAAACTGGCTCCGAGTGTACGAATGACCAATCATAAAACCATCGAATCGCCTATACCACTGTCGAGGAGTCTGCTTCAAACCGTATAGCGATTTCTTCAATCTGCAAACCAATTTTTCCTTCCCTGTAGCTCGGAATCTCAATGGCTGAGTCATATATATTTTTTCATCAAGATCACCATGAAGAAATACCGTCTTCACATCCAACTGATCTAACTCGAAACCATATTGTGCCACCAAAGCTAGCAAAATCCGAATCGAAGAATGCTTCACCACTAGAGAGAAAACCTCATTATAGTCAATACCTTCCTCCTGTGCATAGCCCTTCACAACCAACCTAGCTTTGAACCTCAATGGAGTGCCCTCAATGCCCTCCTTCTTCGTGTATACCCACTTGTAATCAATTATCTTTCGCCCCTTTGGAAGCTCAACAAGCTCCCATGTATCGTTCTTATAAAGAGATTCCACCTCCTCCTGCATAGCCACCTGCCACGAATCAGCCTGCGAACTCTGCTCGGCCTCTCTGAATGTAGTAGGCACCAACTCATTGATACTCTCCACCGGAAGTGCATACGCAACTGTGTCGGCATACCGTGCTGACATCTGTATGTTTCTCCTCTGTCTTCGAACCGCAATCGAATCCTGAACCTGAGCCGTCGGTCCCTAATCCTGCACATCAGTACTCGTATCCCCCGTGTCATCGTCGTGCTCGCCTGGCGTCACCTCAGTCGGCACTCTAATGGATACTGTACCATCTGGATAATGTGGAGCTGTATCGATCTCCACCACCTACGATATCTTCTCCGTCGGGTCGCTCTCCACCTGATGAGAGCAGGAAAGCTTCAAGATAGAAGCCTCATCAAATGTGACGTCCCTACTCAGCACAATCTTCTTATCAACTAGATCCCAAAGCTTGTATCCCTTGACACCACGCTTGAATATTACAAATATGACCTTCTTAGCTCGAGGTTCCAACTTATTAGTTCTTACTTGATAAAATGCAGGGCACCCGTATACCTTGAATAGGGGTTTTCCCCTCAATCGCAGATGAAGGCAGCCTATTAATGAGGTGGCTCGCATATGTAAGTGCCTCAGCCCAAAAGATCTTCTCCAAACTACTCTGCGACAATACGCATCGGATCTTCTCCAGTAAAGACCGATTCAACCTCTCTGTCACCCTATTTTTTTTGCGGTGTATGACTAACCGTGAAGTGGCTCTCTATACCCTCGTTTCGATATAGCTGCAGAAAGGGGTCTGAAGTATATTCACCACCGTTATCGGATCGCAACGTCTTGATTCACCACCGTTATCGGATCGCAACGTCTTGATCTTTCTCCCAGTCTACAGTTCCAATCTCTTCTTCCACTCCACGAATATATCTAGGACTTCATTCTTATTTGTCATGGTGTACACCTAACATCGCCTAGAATAGTCATCAACGAACATGACGAACCAATGTCGACCACCAAGTGATGCAGTCTTGGTGGGACCCTAAACGTCTGTGTGCATATAGTCCAGGATGCCCCTCGTCTGATGAATGACAGTTCCGAACTTCACCTTCGTCTTCTTACTAAGAACACAGTGCTCACAGAACCCTACTTTACCACTCTTGGCTCCCTTCAATAGTTCCTGCTTGCACAAAGCTTGTAGTGACTTCTCTCCTGTGTGCCCAACCTATAATGCCAAAGTCTGCTCATATCCGCCTCTGAAATAGCTGAAGCAACCTGGCCAATCTCGGTGCTTCCCTTTAGATAATACAAGTTCCGGCTGCGGACTCCTTTCATCACCACTAAAGATCTCTTAATAACCTTTCCTACAACGTTCTCAAAGGTCACCTTGAATCCCTTCGCCTCCAAAGCTTCAACTGAGATAAGATTCTTTTTTAGTTGTGGAACAAATCTCACTTCCTTCAATTCACGAATTACTCCATCGTGCATCCGGATCCGCACAGTACCTATCCCACAAATGCCACATGATTGATCATTTCCCATGACTACAACTCTCCTGAAGTACTAGCGCGGGAAGTCTCTTTGTCCTTCCTCCTCAAGTCATAGTTCGTCAAAGCGTTAGTTACTTCACTATAGCTGATAGAAGATCTTCCATTCAACAAAGTGAGCACAAAGGTGTCATACTCCTCATCCGGTAAGGAGTCCAATAAGATAATAGCCTTGTACTCATCCGAAATCTTCTCATCAACATTTGCTAAGTCCGACAACAACTTAGTATAGTTGTTCACATGCGCCGCTAGTGAGGTGCCTCTAGACATCTAAAATCTGAAGAGTCTTCACAGCAAGTGCAATCTGTTCTCAACACTCTTCGTGAGATACTTGTTGTTAAGAATTTCCCACATCTTCATTGCAAACGTCACTCCAATCACATCATATTTCAGTTCCTGTTCCAAACAGGACCTGATCACCCCACAAGCGTTTCTATTCATCTTCTCCCATATCGCCTCATCATATTTAGGTGACCTCTCGTGGACTATGATGGTCTCTTCCAGATTCTGAGCATTGAGCGCATCATGTACATCGCTCATCCACAAATCAAAGTTGATTTTACCATCATACTTCACCACACTAATCTTAGTGTTCTGAAAACCAACTTGTATTGTACTCGCCATCGACTTGCTATTTTCACCTTCTTCTCTCATTGCGAACTAACTCCAAATTATAGAGAAAGAACAAATTTAATAGAAATTAGGAACCACCCAACTGAACCCTAGATCGGATTCCAAATAGATCTCATATCCATACGAGGAAAGCGAAATCTCCAACGGCAACTCCTAATGCTATCTCCACCGAAGCCTAGAACTCCAAGAACCAAGCTTCACACAAGAATCTTCCTCCACCAAACTCCAAAACCCTAGATCTGAAATCTGGGCTCTGATACCCTTTGTTGCGCGCAACGAAAATTTCGGCAACACTTCAACAACATAACAAGAAAGTCAGGTCGCAATAGAAAATCTTGTTTCACAAAAGAAACAAGAACCTTAAGCAAAATATCTCAACCAAGTGAGATATCAGCTCTTCCTCTCATCAGTTCTTCATCAGTTCTAGGACTGACCTGTCGAGTGATCCTAAAAGCTATTACAAATCACACAAATAGCGAGACAACCAATTTTACGTGGTTCGGAAAATAGCCTACGTTCACGGGACAAGGAGGGAGGAGATCTACTATTAGAGAAAATACAAATAGGGTTTACACACACAAGATCTCACGAATAAAACCCTCACAATCTCTCTCAAAGGGATGCACCAAACCCAAAAAAAAGCCTCTGCTTTTCTTTTGCACACGCAGCCGAAAAAAACCCCTGTGTTTTTGCCCTTGCACGCCGCTTGCGGTTCTTCCCCTGCTATTTCGTACTTGCACTCTTTTCTGCAGCCGCCAAACCTCCGTGCACCAAAAAACCTAAGAAATAAAAACAGAGGTATTTATAAACCTCAACAAACGCGGAAACCGAAACCACGTTCACAAGCCTCCTTCATGCGCTTTGCCCACCTCGTGGCCCCCGCTCCTCGTTCACAAACTCTTCACGTGGATAGCTGCGAACTCGAACTCCTCACGCACCTTATTCACCCACGCGCCCATGTGGCCCCCACAAGTCCATTCACATAATTAGATAACCTGTGTCATACTCCAAGTTTTATGCAACCTGAGAGCGCACAACTTTATCATCTAACAATTACGTATCACGTTATACATAAGAGTATAGTCTTCCCTTTGATAGGGAGTATAAATGTAGTCACCGTAAAAGGCTTCTATAACTCTTTCTAAATTGTACAGGATCAAAAAGTATCAGTTTTTCTCACCCATCAAAAGAAGCAAAAGTTTATAATCGTCGCTAGCTATAAAATGTTACACGAAAACTTGGCAATATCGTTATATTTCAAAATTGTTGAGGCCAATTGGTCATGCGCTGATAACACCAGACATCCAGGGGACAATTATAGGCGCTGTAGGGTGCGCATTTCTGTACCACTCAGAGTACTTTTCTTTGAAGTTCAGTCGTGGCTTATCTGCCTGCAAATTACATAACAAACTGATCAAATTCCTTAGAAAAAAGAGGAAACTTCATCAGTATTTGGCGCAGGTGTTTGCAAACAAAACTGGACAAGGAATTTGCATAAATAATCTCATTCAGTCATTCATCTCTTCCTAATTAGATTTGTTAGTAACTGCAATTTCCATTATTCGCAACATAATTTTCATGAAATGATAGATCTTTGGATGCATTTCTATCCAAATGTTTCAACAGGTCAGCAGTTTTCTTAACATGGTGCTTGTAAGAGGGATTGACATAGCGGCTGCAAAATTTTCAATGCGGACCAACAGATTCTATATATAGAACAATACAAACTTGTTTTTTAATACTTCGAGGCTTCCTAAGACGCTAGGACAGCATCAAGTTCCTCATTTTCAATCAGACAGGTGCTTTATTTTGACCAAAAAGGAAAACAGTTTTTTTCCCCCATAAAATATGTAGAAAGCTAAGACTAGGTGAATTCTTTATCAAATCATTTCAGTAAGACCCCTCTTTTATTTATTTTGTTTTTTAATTTCAGTCCCTCAAATCTTTAGTACTTATATCAGACCCTCAAATCTTCTGAATTTCTATTTTATCCTCCAAATCATATAAGTCATACCAAATTAGTTACAATTGAAATATAGAGAACATAACTTCATGGATAGCATTTTGAGATGAACTTTGATTTACATCTGTTAGAAGAGAGTACAAGAAGAGAGTATTAGTTTAGCATTAGTTTAGTCCCACATTGCCTATGAGACTAACTTGTAACTAATCCATCTCTATAAATAATAAAGCATAGAGTGAGGGGAAAGCTCTCCAAGAAACTCTTCTCTCTCCAAATCTTAACATAGTATCAGAGCCTATCCCTAACCCTAACCCTAATACTAATCCAAATTCCTAAGCCTAACCCTAACCCTAATTCTCGCGCCTTCGCTTCA